CAATATATATATATATATATATATATATATATTAAAATATAAATATTGAGGGTTAACAGTAAAATTTATGTTTCACCGTGTTCGAGAAAATTAAGCAGTTGATGTCATGAAAGGATCTGTAGATAACAAAATATTCTGGGTAAGAGAAAGAAAATTCAGTTTGGTAGAAGTTGTTAAACCTTTAAAGTTACATAACTTACAGACTTGTTATTGTAATGACATTATTATTGACATGTGCAGTGGCCGTATTTTTAATATAATTCGAAAAAATTTTTACTATTGTGGTAATGTATTAAGTGAAATTAGGTAAAAATGTAGCAGAGTGAAATTGCCACTCTGATCTGCAATAATTTGCTCACAAAGCACTGAAAATTTATAAAGATAAGTCATCTGTGTCTGAGTCTGTACTGTTTCATAGTTTAACTTGTATAAATAGTACAAAATCTCAAAAATGTGGAATTTATTTTTTATATACAAGTTACTGTATTAAATGCTGCATAATCTTTATTGAATGTCTTGTATAAGTAATTTTTATTACTCAAAATTGAAACATGAAGTCATAAAACATTATAGGGGACCAACTTCATAAATTTTCCCACGTCGTCTCAAAGACCTATACACTTACGTTTTTCAAAAGCAAGTTTTGGAAATTCACAATTTTTTGCAACAAGCATTTGCATTTGTTTTAGGATAATGTTTTAAAGTTTCACAGTTGCATCTTCTTTGACCAACAAATAAAACTCAAACTGTATACTAAATTTTTATATCTTTTACCACACGATGATTATTGTTTTCAGATAGGAATTAAGTAAAATAATGATGAAGTGAGCTTATTAGTGTTTTCCATTTCATGAAACATAACCATTCAACTTCTTAGTTTGGAAGTATTTTAATTAAAAGAGTTTTTCTTTACAGCCAGAATTCTTGAAATCACTGTCAGATGTACTTCAACATGCAGGCAATAGTCCCGTGGCTAGAATGGCAGCTGGCCTACAGCTCAAAAATTCTCTCACTTCTAAAGATTCTGAAATCAGGGTTCAGTATCAACAGAGGTGGTTTCAGTTCCCAGAGGATATTAAAACATATATTAAAAAGAATGTAAGATCAATATTTTGGAATAAAAAGTTTTTAATTTTTGTATATTACACTAAAATACTTTTCTGTTAATTTTATTCTCCTGAAAATTTTGACTGCAGTATTTATATGAACATATTAAATTTCTTTTCTTTGAAATTTATATATTATGTTAGAATGCAATAGACGTAAGTATATTTTAATTGTCAACAGTTAAAGAAACTTCTGAGCACACTAATATTTGCTTATTGTTCCATTAAAGTTAGCAGTAAATCATATAAAAAAATAATTTGAAGTGTCAATTCTAATATAAATTTATTTTCAATTCTATTTATTGGAAAAAATGTAGCTACCTCGTACAACTTCACATAAAATAAAAAATAAATCATGATGCCAATACAGCTCATATTTCCACTGTTTATGTTATACATGTGTGTGTATGTGTTTTTACTATGTTCTCTCTCTATATATATATATTGTATATTCATCTTTTTTTTTCTTCAGGTATTGGCATCCCTAGGAACAGAAACCATTAGACCTAGTTCAGCAGCACAGTGTGTTGCTTATGTTGCTGTAGCAGAACTACCACATGGTCATTGGCCAGAACTTATTCAGATCCTCACTCAGAACATAACTGACCCAAGCAGTTCTGAGATGATGAAAGAATCAACTTTAGAAACTATAGGATATATTTGTCAAGATATAGTAAGTAACTTAAAAAGTTGAAATGCTTCAGTATAATGTTTTTATTGTTGTAAGTTGTACTTAGTGTAACTAAAAAAGCAGTAAATGTGAATGGGAAATGTAAAGAGTTTGTTTGCTATTTAATTCAGAAATGTACTGAAAATATTTAAAAGTCAGTATTTTCTTGACCTACTATACAGATCAGTGGAAATAGCTTTAAGGTAGATGACACAAATATCAGTTATGCGTTTTAATATCATGTAATCCAGAGTTTAAAATAGTTGTTGGCATTTGGCATATTAATAATTTTATAAGTCTCAAAGGTAACCGTTTATGATGTGATGAAATTTTTTAACTTTAAAAGTTGTTTAATTTTTATTTTGGAAGCTAGTATTAATTGTTATTTTGTCAAAAAATATTCAGTGATTTGAATAGACATTAGGGAATGGTTGACAGCACCGTATGATTTAATATACAGTATTAAGTGGCCTTACAACAGTTAAATCACAATTTATTAGTACCATAACAATAGGTATTAAAACACAGGTACAAACAATGTATTAATTTTTTTAAATCTTATTAAAACAAAAACTGGTGCCTTATATTACTAGAATATTATCCTCATTTTCAAACTATGGCTATAGTTCTCAACTATTAAATTTTGCAGAACTTTTATAGCCTTATTTTCTTTAGAGGAAAACTAATTTTTTATTAGTAATGATTTATGTATTTTTTAACAGGAACCTGATGTTCTTGTTACTCAATCCAATGACATTTTAACAGCAATAGTTCATGGAATGCGAAAAGATGAACCCAGTGATCATGTAAAGCTAGCTGCCACCAATGCACTTTTAAATTCGTTAGAGTTTACCAAAGCAAACTTTGCAAAAGACTCTGAACGTCACTTTATAATGCAAGTTGTTTGTGAAGCAACCCAGTCATCAAACACTCAGGTGAGTGAAATGCTAATTCTTTGGTTTATATTTTGTGATATACAAAAACAGTTTGAAGAGCATAATTTGTTCCCTAAGCTCGTGCTATGCTTAGCTATATAAACACAAGGTTAGTGATTGTACAGATGTTTGAAATTGTTCAGAAGTTATTTTATGATATTATTAATGAAGTTCAAATGAATTAAAATTTACATTTATCTGTTAAACATCAAAAAATATTAGTATTGTTGTAAATAAATTATTACAATCACACTTGTTTACTTCCTGGTAGGCCTTTAATATTGTAATTTAAATGGATTTATTAAGTTGTGCTGTGATGATATCAATCACTTAAAATAAGAATATGGCATATAATTTTTTCGTGATATTTTTCTAAGTTCTTTATATTTAGGTATTATTTGCCATTGAAAGTATTGAAAAATTTAGAAAACTTGTACCATCAACGTGTTTTTAACTATATGAAATACAAATTTTTTGTTTCTTTGCACTATCTGATTCTTGTAGTACACTTACACTGTCAAGTAAGATACTGTTGGATTTAATGCATTAGACAAATCAAAAGTTACTTCCCAAGAAACTTTATGGGAGTGTATTAGAGACATTTGGAGTAATATCCCAAAAGACACTTTGATTAAATATGTTGCAACAATGCCTGAAAGACTGTTTGCAGTTATTAAAGCAAAAGGGGGACACAAAATATTAACTGTTTGCTGCACTCAAGCACTTCTACTAAATATGAATATTGATAAAATGTTGATGTTTCACCTGTGATTTACCTTTTATTGTTTTTTGAAAGTAGCTTGAAATCTAATTTTTGACTTTGTCCTAACACTTTTGCACTGTACTGTATTTTCTTGTTTTTGGAAATTATTGGTGAGGTGTTTTCCTTCATTTAGTTTACTTGAGAATTTTTCTGTTGGCTTGAAAATTGGTTTGATTTGGTTGTTTTTCAGTAACATATATTTTATTTGAGATTTCTGGGTAATAAGAGAAACATATGGTTAGGTTTTGTTTTATCTATATTATTTCTTTGGATTTGTTTATAAAAATTTTTATTTCATTTTGTAGAACAAATTGAAGGTAATATAGGTATCAAATCTTTGTGATACAGCAGAATTTTTTAAGTAGTCAATTTGTATGATTAAATTTTGATAAAGCCTATTTTATTTTTGGTTTTAAACATGGTTTGATCTTTTATGTGAGGAGATAGACTGTCACTGCCTGGTTTTTCATAAACTTCTGTTCATATTGTGTCATCAGAATTTCTTGTGATTAAAATGTCTAGAGAAGTAATTTTATTGTGACTTTTGGCTTTGTAAGAGAACTATATATAAAAGTCACTGTGTCTTGAAAGTTTCTTAACTATCAGTTATCTTTTGGTGTAACATTGTGCATGTAGAAGAGTTGGTTTTTGAAGTCATCCATGTAAATGTTGCAGAGAAAAGGTGATAGAGGACTTCCCATACGGAGTCCTTGATTCTGTTGAAAATGCTCATTGTTGAACTGAAAATAGAAATTGTTAATATTAGCAGGGTAATGATTTATTCTTTTTCAGATTGAGGTGTAAATGTCTTATCAATTTTTTTGTAATTGAACATCTAGAGTCCCCATTATTGGAACTTTTGTGAACAAACTTGTTATATCAAATGATGTTGATGTTTTCATATTTGAAATGGAATACTTGGAGTTCTTTACAGTGTACTTGTTTGAGTCTTGTAAAAATGACAGTCTTTTGGTTAAGTATTTAGGTAAAAAGTAAGTTGGACCATTATTGGATGTAGCAATAGGTCTAAAAGGTATCTCTTTATCCCTTTCTATGCTGGTCACAGGTGAAAGGCCATGTCATCTCGTTTGTTTACTCACATCAACATTTTATTGAACTACTATTTCATTAATCTATGTCAATAAGTTTGGTATCAAACTGTAGATTATAATTCAAATTTTAAAGCTATTCATTACTTGATTTGTTAGTTTAAAAGTAAATATTAAAGAAAACACAGATAAACATTGATTTTTGTGTGTCATGTGGTATGTTGAATGCAGCACTGGTTCAAATTATTTTTTTGTGTGTCAAAATACAAAATCT